TATGTTCGAAACTTCATAAGAACTTTCATAAATGTATGTAGTTTAAGAAACATAAAGCCGGTTATTTTTTATTTATAATTAAGTTATTTTGCATTATGATCTTTAATACCTTGGAAAATTACATTAGGAAATGGTTTTTTTTTAGAAATGATTACGATATTTATATTTGTTCCAGATTTGAACTTATTACTTTTTATGTTTTAGTACATTATTTTGAAATCTCCAAAAAACTGTATCCTCCATAAAATGCTAATTTTATTCAATTTTATTTTTTTTAATAATCATGTACTCTCCTTATCGTTTCAAGTAATATACAAGACCCGAAAATAATATTTGTAAATAAACCTAAACAATAAATGAGTATTTTTGTTTTTAACTAGGATTACATGTTTATATATGTACATAAAAACATTTTAATTTTGTTTCATAAATATATTTTTATTTCAAATTTTTGTTTATGTTTCATTGCAGTGGTACTTTTGTTTATTGTGCCAAATAAACCATGGGGTCAGCAGCATGAACTTTGTACGTTTTCCGTAAACTATCTCACCCCTGTTGGTGGTCACTCTCGTTCAGTTCAACAGAGCGCGGGCGCATTTGAACGTTACTGTAGATATGATAGTAAGAAAGCTTTTCGGTACTTGAATATCATTTCTTTGAACTTTCAAACAAGTTTATTTCAACATATGTCCGTGTATGTTGTTTCAGAATAGAGACAAAACTAATTGCCATTACTAACAAATGTATGTAACAGTTTATAGTACAGGTGGTTTCAAATAACACCACCTGAGCCTGACCCCTTGTAACTTGATACATCCTGTTAGAAGAGATTACCAAACCATATAGACACCATAAATTACAAAGAAAATTACTTTACAGCACTTAAAAGATTAGTCCTGGTCACATTCCTCTCATTATAGGCAAGATTTATGTTGGAATGTGAAGCTTAAGCTCTTCAATGTACTTAGACCCCAACTGTGAGAATGTCATAGCTTCCCTGTATTATTGAGATGAATGTATTTAGGCTGTTTCACAACCAACATATGGGTTTTATTGTTGTCACTTGTACACTGAGTTTGAACCATTTGCAAAATATCAGAATAAAATATATATATCAGTTAGACTGTTTTCATTCTAACGCAATAACAACAGAAGTGTGGGTCTTACTACAAAGCAAAGATTGTAAGAAGGAAAAAACTAAAAATTCTTATGTGGTACTGGTACTAGTAGTATTACCTACAAATCACACAAGTTTATCATTCTAAATACTGAATCATATTATTATTATTATGAACTAAATATGAAATTATGCTAAATTATTGAACTTAAAACTACAAATTTAAATTCAAAAGAATATAAAAAATCACAAACTCTTTCAGTTCAAAGTCCTAAGTCTAATTCATGTAAAGACTTTGCACTTGCCACTCGATAGCTCTTAACCTTAACAATCGTAGATCAACTTCTTTCCTAAAAAATATATCTATTTTGAGTTAATTTTTAAATATAATGATTAATATAAACAGATATACGATGCAGCATGAATTAAGCTACTATATAAAAATAATAAAAGTCACGTACATCCCATGCAGTTTTTTCAAGAAGCAACTTTTCTAACGCTTATAAAAAAAGTACTAAATACAACCTCTACATAAAATGGCAGTTACTATAATA